AGCCCCGGTGGGACAGGCGCCGGCTGCATGGTGGCTGCGGCAGAATCCCAACCGCTTCAGCTTGGGGGCCGTTTCTAACAGTACCCACGGCTGTGGACAAGCCTCAGCCCAGGTCCCCCAGGGGTCAGTAAGGGCCCGGGAGAACAGAGGACCCTCTGGGAGCCCAAGTGTGACCACCAGTGCTACCGCAGCAACGCGAGAGTGAGGGAGTGAGGGCCTGGAGAGGACTGTGGGGACCTCGCTGGCCCCAGGAAGCCCACATGTCAGAGGGACACGGGCTCCCTGGCTGGCCCCTTGAGGCTGCCCTGCACCACAGGGCATGCGTCCGCAGGCAGGGGAGGGGCAGGAGGGCTGCCTGACGGCTGAGGGGCACTGTATGTCCCTTCAGCAGAGCCCAAGACAGGCCTGCAGTGACTCCGGGCGCTGACTCAGCACAGGCCACCCCTCCTCTCCAGGGCTGGGGCCGGCACTGCCCGACGAACTCAGGGAGTGACCATGCTGCAGCCGGAGCATCAAGACGCGGCCAGGAAGCCACAGCTGCCCACGCACTCCACCTGTCCCAGCAGCTCCCTGCCCACTGTGCCAGCCACTGGGGAGCAGAAATGGGAGGCTGGCCAGCAGGGCTCCCAAGGTCCTGCAATGCACAGGACCTGCCCAAGGGTGCTGCCTCAGGCTCTTCACCCTCAAGTCTCCCCTCCCTCACTTATCAGGTTCTGTCCAAGGCACTGCCTGAGAGGCCTGTCCCAGAGGACAGTGACAGACGGCGGCCGTAAGACCCCAGGCCACTCAGTCTTTCTCCCACAAACCCTGACTCAGGCCCCGCCCTGGCCAGAGCTTGGCGCCTCCCCAGCCCCACCCATGAAGACCCGCGGCCCAGCAGGCACAGGCAGGACGAGTCGGCCTGGGTGGACCCAGCACACAGCGACGTCCCCACTTTGCCCCTGCATGGCTGGCTGCGCGTCAAAGCCACTCACTCTCAGGCAGTGCAGGGACAATGAGCCTACCTCGGGCTAGACCCCGGCCCTTGGCAGTCGCGGGGGGACCCCTTCAAGCCCCCTCACCCTCCAGTCTCCAGTCCCACCCAGAGGCCGCAGTCAGGGCCAGCACCGCCAGTGCGGTGCTGGGGCTGGCCTCCCCGAGAGCAGGCATGTTCCGAAGGCAGGTGTCCTCTGGGGACGGCCTGGACCCCCGCTTCCTGCAGACAGTGAGGACCTGCCCACCCCAGGGCAGAAGGGAGATGCCCTCCCTCGGCAGAAGCCTCCCCTGCGGACACGTGTGGGCGCTGCCCATGACGGCCAAGCACGAGGACTGGAACTAGGCGCCTGCCCTCTCACCAGCGATGCAGGCTCGGGCTGCCCTCGGGCTCGACTCCAGCAGACAAAAGCGCCCACAGTCGCTGTCTCCCGAGACCTCACCCAGCCCTCTGCGCCAGGAAGACGGCCACGTGCTCGCCCACCCCAGGGACGGCGGGCCCTGCGCCAGCCACGGGGCTGGAAGGGAGGAGGGCCCTGGAGCCCCGGGAAGCGCGTCTGTCTGGCTGTGATGGTCGTCACGCGCACCAGCCTCAGGGCCAGGTGAAAGACCGAGCCCCCTCGCTCGCGGACAGATGGCCTCATGGCACCGGCAGGGAGCAGCCTCGGCCCCTCGTCTGCCAGCATGCCACGTCACCGCAGTCCTGGTGAACTCAGGGAGAAAGCAGACTGACTGCCACATGGTTCCTTCCAGAGCCCCAGCCCCTCCTGGAGGCCACGCCGGGCCCCCTGCATCTCTGTCCCCTGCTCCAATGCCTGTCCCCTCTGGCTCACCCAATGTCTGGAATGGCAATGGTGCAGGAGTTTGGGTGAGGGGGTTCTGATCCCCGACAGCACCATTCGCCACGGCTGGTGCTGTCTGCGGGCCCTCGAGGAGTCAGCCGTCTGCTTCCAGATGAGCTGAGCCCTGACCTGACCCTGATGGCGTCCCGCACAGGCCCCTGCGAGTGCCCTCCTAAGGCAGCTGTCTGGCACCTGATGAGCCTGGGCACAGGCAGCTGGGGCGGAAGGAAAAGCCGTGTCCTGCCCCAGATCCTGCCCAGGCGCAAGCTCGGCATGTGACTCACGAGGGGGTTGTTATAGGTGCCATGGGAGCCCCGACGGAAAGGTCAAGGTGGACCCAGAGGGGACACCGAGACGCCCCCACCTTGAGTGTACCAGTCACCCGAGTCCTTCAAGGTGGTGGAGGGGTCTCTGGCATTGACTGGTGCCATGGAATATGCTGCTTGGGGCACTAGCGAGCAGCATCCCCCAAGGGGCACGGATGCCAGCAGCCCAGAGCACAGTGACCAGTGCGAAGGCCGGGCCTGGGACGAGCGTGGCCAGCCCCCTGGGTACGGCCTCCCGCCTGTCCACTATGACCCTGGGCCTGTCTGACATCCCGAAGTCCCCCACGAAGGGGAGGCTGGGGACACCCCTCGATGCTTGCCTTGGCAGAAGGAGTGGGATGGCGGCTGGTTCTCTCTGCCTTGCTGGGACCCGCTCTGCCAGGAGAGGTGCCCACCACGTGAGTTTTGCCAGGCCGAATCACAGAGCCCCGGCTGTAGACATTGAAGTGCCAGACCCCACGGTAGTGTACCTGGGGCCCTTGAAGCAGTCAGGGCATGTAAGGGTGGGCGCCTGACCCACGGAATTCGTGTCCTACTTTGAGGTTACCGAGCAAGCCTGCTCGCTTCACCGTGAGCACCAGAAGGCGGCCATGCCCAGCTCAGGGCAGAGCCCCAGCAGACACCCACCCTGCCACCCAGGACAGCCGGGCTCCTCCGTCCCTGTGCCAGCCCAAGCTGACTGCGGCGGGCCAGCCTCAGTCCCAAGGCGTTCTGTGTGGCAGGCCCTAAGCTGCTCCGGGCACCCATTCCATTCCTGCCCGGGCTAACCACCCCCAGGCACCCGGCCAGCTCCTTCCGACTGGGGCTGCTTGCTCTGCCCTTGCCTCTTGGAGGGCCACGGCAGTGAGGAGCACGGATGGCTCAGGTTCTGGGCACTTCAGGTCCCCCAGAAACTTCCGTGGCAGTGACTCCCTGTGCTCACTCAGCATGTGAGGGCTGACACTGTTTTCTAAAGGACAGAGGTTCAGAGACCATGCCCGCCAGGGAGTGGCAGAGCCAGGCCCCTGCTGGTCACAGCCTAGCTCCGTCCACAGTGCCCTATCTCTCGGGAAGGGCCGTGGGTCCCCTGCAAGACCATGGCCCTGACCTGGGGGTCAGAGAGCAGGCTGGACGTCGTGGACCCTCCTTGGGCTGGCCAGCTCAGAGTCCATGTGCCCACACAGGAGTACAGAGCCAGGTCAGGCGGGGCTTCCTGCTCCACCCCACCCCTGCTGGGCAGGCCTCGGCGAGACCCACTTTGGACAGCGTGCTTCCCTGCCGGAGTCGCCGCCTGGCTGCTGGGCACAGTGCCTGTGTTGTGACCACTGGACACCCAGAGCCCTCGGGGAGGAGCGGCAGGCCTGGGCGGCCAGGGTGGGGCTGCAGGTAGACATCCCACCGTGGAGACGGTGCCTCTTTCTCCGGACAGGGCACTGCACTGCTGTCACGTTCTAGCGATGCAGCGTGGTGGCACGGGCTGGGCAGCTCTTCCTTCCCCATGCCCAGCGCTGGCTAGCTGCGGCCTTCCCTCGTGGCTGACCGCCCTGGGAGCCGTCATTGCCTCCTTACGTCTGAGGGCACAGAGGCTCCAGGAGGCCAGGGATCAAGCCAGAGCCCTCTCCTGCAGTGCAGACCTCCAAGGTGGCTACATCCCTACTGCTGCATGCCTGATGCTCCTGCCAGCCTCTCCTGGGACACCTAGCACCCCCCGAGCATCCAGTGAGCTGCCCGGCCTGCTGCACCATCCACCATGCACCCCAGGGGGGCCCAGGGTCATAGGCCCCCTTAGGACATGCCTCACCTGCCTGAGCCCCGGGACTCCACCAACCTAAAGACCAACGGGAATAGCCCACCTGAAACCACGAGGGGCTGTCCAGACCTGTTCTCTGGTGGTGTGGTGGTGCCCTTCACTGCAGGGCCACGGGCAACCACTGACACGGGCTCAGGAGTCCCACATGCTTCAGCTCGCTGAGGCTGCCAGTGTGGGGTCTGACCCCGGGCAGCACTGGACAGTGTGGGTACATGCTGGGACGTGGCCCAGCCTAGCCCGGCCTTTCTCTCCTTCTGTGGACACAGTGGAAGGGCCAGATCACTCCAGCAGAGCCACGCGTCGAGCAATGTGAGTACCAGGGAAGGTGGCGGCCGAGGCCCTGGGCCCTTCATCTGCACAGCTGCCCCGTTAAGGCCGGCTGTCCTGTCCCTGGGCCGTGGTCTGAGCAGACACCATGAGACCTGTCATCCACGGTTGGCGGGAGGGGCCTGAGCACCCACTCCTGCCCTCAGCCACCTCCGCAACTATATGACCAGTCTGACCCAAGCTGGGGCCTCTGGGCATCACTGAGGGCTGAGGGACATGCAGACGGATGAGAGGAGGCAGGGGCTGCAGCATCCTAGCCCGCACCCACACTTCCCTCTCCCAGCCCCAGCACGGTACGCCCCTGTGACGCCCAGGTGCACCTAAAACCCCAATGAGAGCGCTGTGTCCCCGAAACGCTCAGTTACATCCAGAAGGGTCGTGTGACACCAGACCTGCACACCCTGTCACCACGTCCCCTCCATGCAGCCCTAGCCTGGCTTGGGCAGCTGTTGCCCCTCCAGTGCCTGAAGAGGAGTGGATGGTTCCGCCTGCCGGTCGCCCTGGTGAGCTGCCCACATCAGGCCAACCCTGCCCCTCAACCGGCTGCCCCCTCCTGCCCCAGGCTGCAAGGAGACTGAGCTCTCGGAAGGGCCTTCCAGGTTGGGCTGGAGCTGCTGGGCTCATCTGCCACAGCTTAGGTACCCCTCCGGCTGCCCGAGGCCCTGCAGAGCAGCACGCACACTGCGTGGCCCCGTGCCTGCTCGGGTCTGCATGAGTGCTGCACAGGCTACGTGGGAGGGCGGGCTGCTCCCGGGTCTCACGGTCTCTCAGCACTGGGGACACAGCCCGAGGCCCTGGTCACCGTGGGGCAGGAAGCAGGTGAAGGACAGACAGGAGGAGTGTGGGCGTCCGCTCTGCTGGACAGAGGCCACACCCTCCAGACCCAGGGGCGCCGCAGCCGCCCGCACACAGCAGGAGCTGGAGCCTCTGCTGTCGCTGGCTCTGAGGGCTGCCGGGGGAGGGGACACGCTTGCACGCGTCCTCGGGGGCGAGGGTGCTCACGGGGACAAAGCAGGCTGGACTTGCCAACTCCGTGCTGCAACCCACACTGCGTGTTTGCTGCACGGGGGTGCCACGGACACGTCCCACTCGTCAACAGGCTCTGCTGTCCCTATGGGATGAGCTTTTATGAACCCTGGGTTCCCCTAACCCTGTACCCACAGGCAGCGCGCAGGGGCCCCTTCCTGCTGGGTCGTGTCCAGCAGGCCCGGGGCGGATTCTTTCTTCGGCCCACATGATGGGTGCTCACCAGCCAAGCTCTCCACGCGGGCAGGAGTTAGCAAGCCCCGTCCTCCCTTCACTTCAGAGAGGCTGGGCCCGGGCCAAGGTCCTGCAGACCCAAGGTCGAGGACGAGAACAGCTGGCTGAGGCAAAATGGGAGACCCCAACCCGGTCTGTCCAGCCCTGAGCTGCACTTGAAGTCCTGCCAGGTGTCCGCGAACTCCCTGAGCAAGGGCCTGGGCCACCTCCAGGCTTCAAGACGAGCCAGCGTCTCCTGCAACGCTGGTGGACAGACGTGGCTGACGCCTCCTGGGTGCTCCCAGGTACAGATGCAGACCCACACGTTGAACAAAGGCGGCCCGAGTCGCTTGGACACTCAATTCTGCGGTCCCGGTCAGTGCAGGCCAGCACTGTGGCTCCTCCCTGGCCACCAGGGCAGGTGTTGCGCGGTCTCTGCAGCCCTGGGCCCCCAGATCCCTCTGTCTCAAACGTCAGTGAGGGTTTGTGGATGCTGAGCCTCCCCAGTGACTTGTCCGTAACGTGAGGTGCCCCATGGGGCCAGCAACGGGGGACGGAAGTGAGGCGGGTGTGCCCCAGCTCCTCCCACTCACTCAGCTGGCTGGACCCCAGGTGTGCGAGCGGTGGGCTCCTAGCATGACCACCACGACCGCCAGGAGGGGCCGAGGGGGTGTGGGGGCGGAGCCCAGCTCCCTGTCCCAGGCCCATGTCTTCATCTGTAAAATGGAGACCAGAGGCTCCTGCTGGGGCGAGCAAGGCTGCTGGACTCCTGCTCTCGCTGACACTACACTGGTGGCCCCGGGCCCCCCAGGACAACAGGCACGGAGCCCCCTGTCTGCAGCACCATGGTAAGCTGACTCCCAGCCACTGATCGCCTGGGCCAGGGGCGCCCGGCATTATTCCTGGGGGAGCTGTTGTTGCCTCTTACGCTCTCAGAAAAGGGGTCTGGGCAGGGTCCTGTGGGGAGGGCTGGCGAGCAGGACCCCAACGACCTGACAGTTCCCGCCATTCTGCTCTTCAGCTGGTAGAGGGACACGGAGGAAGTGAGAAGGAGCTGCAGACAGGGGTCTCAGAGCTGGGCCCAGAACCCAGCGGCCCCACCCTAACTGTCCCCTATGCAAGGCGGCAACCTGGAGCCCAGAAGTGTGGTTCTGGAGCACCTGTCGGGGAGGGGACCGCTGAAGGCACCGCAGCGCAGGGCAGCCTGGGTATTACACAGCCGTGGAGATGGACGGGTCTGAGGACAACGGCATGGAGAGCACGTGTCGGCCACACAGCACCGTGCAGCACTGTGTCCTCACGGGCACCCACAAAGCACCCTGCATGCGTCCCATGTGGCGGGACGCCCGCACGCCTCTCCCATCTGCTCCTCCCAGGAGCCCCAAAAGAAGGCCACCAGGGAAGGCAGCTCAGAGGTCAGCGATGTCCCAGGGCACAGGGCACATGCCCAGGCCTGGCCACCCAGCCTCAACCCAGGCTCTGAGCCCTGCGCCAAATGGCTCTGCGTGCGCGAGGTGGGTACCCAAGCGGTGGGATGGCAGAGTTATGTTTGGCTTGCTAGGCTTGTCTGATCTGTTTAAACACATAAGAGAAAGGGAGGGCAGGGTTCCCTGTACAAGTGCAGCGGCACCAGGGCTGGTCCCCACACTGCCAGGTGTTGTCCGTCCAGCCTACCCCCAGAGCCACAGCATGAGGAGGTCCTGCTGGCTCGGGGCAGCTCGGGTGGGCCCCCCGGTGTGGCAGCAGGAGAGGGCCGCAGGGCCCACGGCCGAGCCGCCCACAGCCTCCCCAGGTGCTGCTGCGAGTGGCCGCCAGGGCCCTTGGGGCTGTTCCTGCACATGGCACCGAGGACGAGGGCTCCGTGTGCCAGGCGTGTGCCCACAGGAGCCAGCCCCCAGCAGGACCCAGGCCGTTGGAGGGATGACACATGGGGCCACGCCAGGGCCTTGGTCGCAGGTGGGCAGGGGCCACACTCACCCTTCCCGATCTGGACGAAGCCGAGCAGGATGATCAAGGCGAGCGCCAGCAGCTTGGCGGCGGCGAAGGCGTCCTGCACCCGTGTGGCGGCCTTCACGCTGTAGCAGTTCACGGCGGTGAGCAGCACTGCGGAGAGAGGGCGTGAGCACCTGGGCTCGGACGGGGCACCAGCGACACTGCAGCCGCTCCAGCCTGGGTGTTCTGGGCGGACGTGTTTGGACAAACTGGACAATTCTCCAGGCCCAAGGTTAAAAACACCAACCTTCTGAAGAGCGCCGGTCCCAGGCGCCCCAGGGCTGTGGTACGAGACGTCCCCAGAGACCTCCATCAGGGCCTCTCCTCTCCCCCCCACACCTGCCACAGGAAAGGCCTGCTGGGCCGTGCGGGCAGCACGCTCACCCCAGCAGGCCCACACTGCCCACGCCGTGTCTGCAGCCTGGCTCACGCCCCACCCACGAGCAGGCACACTCCGGGCTGATGGGTGAGGAGGGCGGCAGGCCCCAAGCCAACAGGTGTCCAGAGCACTCAGACACCCACGCAGCCCCGCACAGGGGACCTGCAAGCAGCTGGGATGGGGAACGTGAGCAGGAGACGGGCTGGGCAGCTAAGGCCAGCAGGCACCCTCAAGTCCAGCACGTCCTGCCTAGGCCCTCGGTGTGACCCCAGCTGGGCACGTCGGTCTGTCTGGATACTGAGGTGGGTGGGCACTGGCCATGGCCTATCCCAGGCTCTGGGTGCTGAGGTGCACGCAGCCGGCACAGCTCAGGGAAACAGGCGTGTTTAGGAAAGGCGGTGAGAAGGTGGCCCCAGGCCCGGCCACTGGACCCCTTAGCAGCGAGCATGCGGCCCTCCAGCTCGGACACCTCAGGAGCCTGACCTCCACAGAGCAGGTGCAGATGAGCTGGGCACAGCACCAGGGCTCAGCTGCGGCCAGAGAGCCACGTGCGGATCCGGACCCCCCAGGACGTAACCAACAGCTGCTGCTGACTGGAAGCCGACAGAGCAAGCCGAAAGTACTTCGTGGCATGTCACGTACCGCGCCCTTACAGTAACGCAGGCAGAGGCAAGAAAACATTTTTAAGAAAAGCTAAGAGGCTACAGGTGGTGTGGTGGTGAAGACAGTGGACCCCCATGTGGCCAACTGCAGTTCGAGTCCCGGACCTGGTACCTTGCTTTCTCACTTTCTCTCTCTTTCCAGTAAGTGTTTGTGCCCTGTGGCAAATCTAAAGATGATAATAAATTAAATTAAATAAATAATTCTTGGGGCTGGCAGGTGGCGTGGTGGTTAAGGGCACTGGACTCCCACATGGCCGACTAAGGTTTGAGTCCCGGACCTGGAGGCTTGCTTTCTCAACTTCCCTCCTTCTCTCCTTTCTCTCTCTCTGTCCTTCTCTAGTCAGATTTGAATAATAAGTAAATAAATAATTCTTTTAAAAAATTCTTGGAAAGAAAAGAAGAAAAGGAAGAGAAGAGCTATCAGAAAAGCCCTCATACACGTGGCCTGGTGAGGTTCGAACCCGTGTGGTTCAAGGGCCAGCAGCATCCGCTCCTGGCCGGTGGCAAAGGCTAACCCGGCCCCTTCCCCTGTGGGCTGGGTTCCTGCCGCTTGGCCCCAGCACGTACTCTGGGCAGCTCTCGGAGGGCTGCGTGCACCTTCTTTTCCCACTGGGACTGACATTCAGACAGGCCAGCCACAGGCCTGGCGACTCCAGGTGGCCTCCTTCCTGGCTGAACTAATTATACGTTTTCAACCCAAGGAACTGGCCCCAAGACAAAGCCACGTGACCTAGCCGTGAGACCCGTCTTCTCCCAGAGAGGAGCTGGAGGAGTCTCTGGGGCTGACCCGCATGCTCTGCCAGGCCCGTCCCCCACGCCGGCTGGCTCTCTGGGCCCCAGCTCTCCCGGGTGGCCGCTTTCCTTTCCAGGTAAACAAGAGCAGCAGTACCGGCCGGGCCCTCCTTCCAGGCAGCTGAGCCAGACTCACCAGACTCGCAAGAGGGCTGCTGGTTGCATCACTTGCCATTCACGCGGCCGGGCAGGCGGGCGGGGTGTGGGTGGCGGCTGGAGAGGGCGAGAGGCTGGGCCCCCTCAGGTCTCCGTGTGGCCTTGGGTTTCTGAGGGTGCCTGGGGGGCTGGCATCGGCTGACATGAGAATTACAGCTGCACACAGCCTCTGCCTCAGCCGCCATCTGGGGTTTCCCTACCTCACAAAGATGCCAGAGCTCCAGAAAAGGGGACCAGGCCCACAAGCCCCCGGGGTGTTGGCTGACACGTGCTGGGTGGTGACACCAGGGCAGCTGTTGTGGGCGGGGCAGAGGCTGTGCCCTTCCTCTGCCACCCCAACCCAGGGCCCCCCCACCGCCCCAAAGAAAAGCCCGAGTGCTGCCAGGGCTCAGGGGACCGGGTTGGCCAGCAGGTGCCAAGCCACGGGCGGAGAGCAGAGCTGTCCCAGGACACAGACAGCCACAGGCTGCCTGCGGGGACCTCAGAAAACTCCTTTATAGAAAGAGCTGGCGCGTGTGAGTTCACTGTAACACTCCTGCCGGGTGGACAATGGCTCCGTTATTCTCACTACCACTTTCTGAACAAGCTTTGGAGTGAGACGTAACCTTACATGACGGACCGGGGCCTTGCAGCCTCACCTGACTAGTCGGCGCTGGGTGGGGCCCCGGAGGCTGGATGTGAATCTCAGCCCCACCTGACTGCGGCCTGCCTTCCCTGGCCTCTGTTTCCAGACCTGGGGGGCAGAGTGCCTGGAGACTCTGGAGCTGCTGGGCTGATGTCTGTGGGCATGAACACGCAGCCCTGGAGACAGGGAGGAGAAGGCACCTGGCTAGAGGCCAGCACTCCCAGATAAGCACTCCTGAGCTCGCCACGGGGACAGCTGGGCCCAACAGATAGAACCAGGGCGTCTGCCAGTGCAGAGAGCGGGCAGGCCGCTGTCGTTGCCCGCGGGCCATGACGGAGGGTTCCTGTTTCGGGTCTGTGTCTCCTGGCATGTCCTGCTGCAAGTCCGGCTGGCTGGGGCCCAGCCACTGCCGTGAGACCCAGGCCAGCCTGACCACTCCTCCTGCAGGGGCTTGGCCGCACCATCCTCACCCACTGGGGCCGGCTCAGGCGTCGGCTGTGGTCACAGAACAGCTCGCTGTCCGGGGCAGATGCCCGACCCTAGCACACAGCATGGCCACGTCGCTGGGCATCCGATCCCTGGGAAGCTCAGACGGAGAAGAGCCAGGCTCCTCAGCGACCCATCAGCCTCTGGTGGGTCCTGGGCAGCAGCAGTTCCCCCTGCCCCCCATCCCTGGGGTATGGCCCCAAGATGCCAACATCAGAGACCACGGGTCAGGGTGCAAGGGGCCGCTGTGGAGACGGCACACAGCCCAGAAGGGCGCCGCTCTGAACCACGCCGGGCGCGGCCTCCCTGCCTGTAAGGCTGTTCCTGGAGAGTTCTGCGGGCTCAGAGCTGCTTGCGGCCCACTCACAGGGCAAGCTCGAAGTAGAGCAGGCCCGTTTTTACAAAAACAAAACAAGAAAACCCTGGAACCAGCAGTTAGCATAATGGCTATGTCACTGGACTCCCATGTAGTCGACCGCGGTTCACGTCCTGGACCCAGTGGCTTAAAACTCACGCCGGGCACGTGTGCGTGTGTGCCCAAGATCCCAAGAGGAGAACGGAGGAGAAGGGATTGCAGCGTGGCCATCCCCCTGGGGGGTGATTTCTCCCTCTCTGTCTCTGTCTCTCTCTGTCTATTGAGCACATGCGCCCTACCGTTTACAGCCCCACGCTCCCCCTGTTGCACCCAGAGAGCTATTCTCAGGGTGGAGACCTCCAGGGCAGACAGGGAGGTCGGCTCCCTCCACTGACCCTCGGCTGAATGCAAGCTAGAAAAGGGATGTGAGCAAGTCAGAACCATCCGGAACCACAGCTCTGGCCCTACTCAGCAGGACTCCCTCGATGCCCCCGCACCTGCGCCCAACAGTGAGCCTCGGGGCAGGTGCCCAAGAACCCCCCGGCTCCGCAGAGGCA